TTTTAGGACAATTTCATCTCTGATTGTTTTTTAAATGACTCTTGTAACGAGCTTTAGGCCGATGACTCCCAAGTCAGATGACTTTAGGGCTCCAAGTTTTAAAATACCCTTGCAGGCTTAATTGCTCGAGTCATAAAAGCCCCTTATAAAAATCTTAAATTTCAAAAAAAAAATATGCCGTGATTAGTGCAATGCCCCTTATCACACACCTATTCAAGCAAATCGACCTCCAATTTAAGATTTTCACCCAATTTTATCCTGTTCATCTCAGACAATCCACACAAAATTTTCACACAAGGAATCCACATTCACATCCGTATTTTCCTACAACAATAAGATCTTTCCAAATTGTACTAAAGTTGCTCTAAAGATAATTAGTTAGTATGGTTTTGGTAAAGCATCTATGTCCAACTAATTCAATCTATCAAGTGCATGAATCAACTTACTTCATCATAATGTCAAATTCAGTTCTAGTGCATGTATAATATTAAGTTTTGCAAAAGTTCAAGTTTCAATCAATCTAGCATACTTCATATCCACAGTTCATAAATCAACGCTAAATCTCAATTTAATCATCATTGTCAGTCAAACCGTCTAATCCACACAAGCACACAATCAAATTTATTAACTATACAACATTATAACTGAAATAAACGTTTATAATCTTTGCTCATTTTCACATTTAAGTCCTCAATTATTTTTCGCTATATTCTTATTATATGAAACTAAATAAATTATTATAACATCATAATATGTGTTGAAGTTCTGAATCCAAACACATTGTTAATAGACTAAAATTTTCAATATATATAGAGAATGAATGATGATGAAAAGAGTATGTTAAGGGTACATATAGAATTTCCTATCAATGGAGAGCATGTAAAAGGAATTGAGAGATGGTTATTTTTATAATTAATTATTAATGTAAATAAATGACGTAGGGATAGTTTTGTGTTTGTACATACACTATGTAATGAACATAATTAAGTCATTGTAACTATAAAAAAATTAATCTTTCTCATTCTAGAGTTGTTGCCAATGAAAGCAATTGTTGTGGGCTAAAAGTAAGAACTGTTGTTAATGAAAGTAATTTGTTGTGGGTTAGAGCTTTTTAAAACTCAAAAATAGTCTAAATGACGCTTGTGTGTGTGTGAATTTATTCGATAATTGTGTATGTGAATGCATTTATGTCGGACATTAGAGTTTTGGAGAAGTTGATTTGCGTGAGACTAATTCTACAAAAAAAAAAATTAAAAAAAAATGGTTGTTTTGATTTTTGACGAAATTTTTTAATATGCTAAAAGATGATGTAGTTTTAAGCTTGGTTTACAATTCAATATAATTTCCAATATAACATATTTAATCGTATGGAATTTCTATTTTAGATTTATCAGTTACCATAAATCATTTTAATTGTATATATACATCTATTTGGAACGTCCTAAGCACGTGTCAACTCAATGTATTATTGTCTCACTCATATTCATGCAATTATGCATTATTTTTTATTCATATATATGAATTTGTGAAGCCAAATTTGGCTAGACATTTATATGTCAGATCTCTTTCCAACACCACGACTCATCTTTGGCTTGATGATCTATATTTTAAATATTTCTAATTTTATAGTTTTTATTTAGTTGTTTTATTATTTATTAAACTACGATTTAATAATTAGTTTTACGAGAGATGGGGGGAAATTAGCATAGGTGTAATTATATGAAATTTTTGCAATTAGAATTTTGTTGAAACTTGAACAGCGGCCACTTTATATTGGTCTTTGACTGATTTTTATATTAAATCAAATCATTTAAGAATTTTTTGTTCATTTTTACTCAATTTTCGATATTAAACAAATTTTAAAGTTTTAATTATAATTAGCATATGCCGTTGCATCATATTGGTACCTGAGCTCAATCACATTCTTTATAAAGACATGTGTTGTATAATATTATATTTGCACAATATGTCCTACATTTGTTATACGATTTTTTTTTTTCAACATTGATTAATAAATAACTAAAGTACCATGTCAATGACTTAGCCCTTGTTTGGTTCTCCTTCTTTTCTCATTAAAATGAAAAATATGATCGTTATCCATCACATCAAGCTACCAAATTTGAATTTCTATCTCTCGTGTGGAGCTCGTAACGACTATATTTTTCATTCTCATTCTTCCAAAAATGAGAAACAAACGGGAGCTTATATTTTGTACACTAGAAACATCACAAATGAAGGCATCATTGTTGAAAACACTAATAAAAATGAGATATGATTCATCAATATATCAACAAATGAGTCAGTGTGTCGATTTAATTTGAATAGTATTAACTTTTTCTGTTTTGTTGGTTGCTAGCGTATATTTTTACTGTCGTATCTTATATTTGTTTTCGTATTTGTACGATTGATGTCACCAACCAAATATTGCGATTATATTTTTATAAAAAAACTAAGGGCATGTTTGAGCCCCTCTTGTTGAGTTAGAATGCATTTTGAAATAGTAGATTGATGGATAATGTGTAATTAAAAATTAAGAAAATTTTTTGAATTTGTATATATATTAATTTGTTAAAGGATGTGTGGTTGAAAAGAGGATATTGAAAAACGTATTTGAAAAAAAATGGGAATCAAATAAGGGCTAATTGCATTTGAAGAATAGTGGATTATAAAAGTATCCGTACTTCGAAAATGTTCCATTGAAATCTACATCAATAAGAACAACCCTGTTGAAGTTTTAAAACTGATTTTGTGTAATGAGGAGGTACTACATAATATCATAATTAGCTAATAGTTTTATTATAGAATTTTTACTATTGAACTAATAGGTTATTTTTTATATTGTTTTCAGAAAATATATTTTCGAGCTACGATTTTTAAGAATACAACCGAAAAGTTCTTTCCCATGCTTGACAAATGAAAAAGGTACCATTTTGAAATGGAAAAATAAGATCCATCAACCCTTATTCAACATTTTCACATTATATACATAATTTTTTTTAAAAAAAATAATTATTCATGTATATTTAGCTCTCGTTTGAGCCACATTATTGTAAAAATGAGAATGAAAAATATAATTGTTATGAACCCCACACAAGAGATAAAAAGTCAATTATGGTGGCTTGATGTGATAGATAACAGTCATATTTTTCATTTCAATGAGAAAATAATGTGGCACTTTAAAAATGATGGATAACGATTATATTTTTCATTTTAAGGGCCTTATTTTTTACAATTTTAATTTTTTCTTTAACAATATCACTTTTTTCAACTACTTTAAAAATCATATTAGCACTTCAAAAATATTATGCATATTATTCATTCAGTACATAAGACGTACAATGGATGTGTTTGTACTAGTATAATAAAAAGTTAATTATTATACTTAAACTAAATCAAGACAAGTTTTAATTTTTTTTTCTAAACAAAATAAAACAAATTGTTTTGAAGTAAAAAGGCATTTGGATTGGTGTTGATGGTAAAATGTAAACGTACTAACACTTTGATATTTGACAATGAATGGTTAAACTCAAAATCCTTCAATGCATCAAAAACAATTTTTGTGCATTAAAAGTCATTCGAATGCAACATTTTGATCAAACATAAAAATGACTTTTAAAAGTGATATTTGGATTTTAAAAAAAACATTTTTATCATGCAAAAATATTTAAAAAATCTTCCAAAGGTCCATGCACTTTAAAACTTTCAAATAGGAACAAATGAGGCAAAAACGTAAAAAACCACGCTACCAGAGCTGTCAACCACCCAAAGAGGCGGTTAATCGGACATCCTCTAACGATCCAGAATTTGACCGTTCTGATTTATGATTTTTGCTGTACAAACGGCTATATTGATCTTCCGGACAAGAGACGGTTGACTGGATTAGTTTTCCGCGAATACAGATTTTTTCTCGTTTTTGAACTCTATAAGTATCCTCACTTTTTCCATTCTTCACAAGATTTCCAAGTGAATTAAAGTGAGATATTTTTGTTTTAAGAATTCTTTGAGCTTTCATTTGCATTCATTTCATTTGTTTCTTTATATAAAAAACGTTGATTAATTCAAACTCATTAATCATCATTTTCATCAAAGTTTTTCATCTTTTTATATCATTCTTAAAAGAGTGGTATATTCTTGAAGAAAGTATTTGCACTTACATTGCATAAATCTTTCTACTTCTTCATATTGAAAAACTTTGATTGTTGAATTAAATTTCTTGAATCATTTTCTCATCAAAGTTTTTCATATCTCTTTATGCTCAACTTATTTATATTAATTTTCAAAGAGAGAGATATTCTTGAAGAAGTTCTTTGCACTTATATTGCAGAAACTTTTCAACTTCTTCTTATTGAAAACTTTGATTGATTGAATCAAATTTGTAAAATTATCATATTCATCATGTTTCTCATTTCTCTTTTAGTACTTGATTTATTGTAATCATTCATTAAAAGAGAGATATTTCTTGAGAAGATTATTTAAATTTACATTGTATTTAATTTTTCTTCATCTTCTCATTGAAATATTTTGATTGGTTGAACTTAATTTTTAATTATCATTTTCATCAAAGTTTTTTATCTAACACTTGAGCTATAATTTGTTACTATTCATTGAAGTGTTAGCCTCTCTTAGTACTTAATTTGTTTTGAATTATTTATCAAGAGATGATTTTATTGTAAAATCACTTTGATAAAGTATGGATCGTGTTGACACTACACCAAAAAAAGGCTTTTGCAACGGTCAAAAAACGATGCAAAAAATCTTTTACAACGTTTTAGCGTGTGTTGCGAAGTTCAATGTTGCCATTGAGGGAAGAGTTTTTGCAACGTTTAAAAGATAGTATTTTGCAACGTTACAAAAGATAGTATTTTGCAACGTTTGACAAACGCTGCAAAAGAGAGGCATTTGCAACGTTTGACAAACGTTGTCGTAGATCCCTTTTTTTTATTCAGAGTGATTCACATATATCAACCACAAAACATGAAAGAAAATAACTATATAAAAAATAATCATTATTAATTGAACTCTAAAATGTAACAATATTCGTACAAAATCCAGATCCAAAATTCTAAAACACCTAAAAATCCATTACATTTTTCAAAAAAAAAAAAAACCACTAACTAAGTAGTGTGTGAAACCACCCCATCGACCTCCATTCCTAGATTTTCTTTTCAAAATTTTATCGCATTGATTTCACTTCTCTTTTTGGAACTCGACTGTAATCCACGTATTTATGGTACATCTTTGAGAACTGCTGCTGCTGTTGTTAAGGGATTGGATCTAGGTAACTGGACCTGTAAGACATTGTAAATTCAGCACATTGATGTAAAATCACATTGCAGTACTTACGACAAGCACACGCATCTTCAAGGTAAAATATATGCATGGAACGACATAGTTAAAATGCATTTTGTATGTGTGATTCTGATAATGTTTACCTTTTACATTTTGAATTAGAACATCCCATTTGATAACATACTAAATTCATGAAAACAAAAGTAAAACTGAAAACTACGACAAAAAGTACTAGTTTTTAATCCATAATAGAGCCAACATAAAGGAAGATGATCATTCTTCTACCTATGATGCTATTTTAAACATATGTATTACATAGTATTCGCCACAGAGAGGGCAATATACTTCTACTTGTAAAAAACCACATCTTATATGTTATGGAGCAGTCAAATAGTTTAAGTATTTAATGCTCTCACTTCATTACTCAGATTCTGAAATGATTTCAAGTTCGCTGCTGAATATTCTACCACGCGAAGTTGCTGCATTCTGTGTACCATTTGTTGAAGTGAATGGGTTACGGGGCATGGAGGGAATTTCTTCCGATTCAAGCATTTGAATTACAACTTTCATGGAGGGTCGCTCGACCGGATACCACTGAATGCACCGAAGTCCCGAAATAGTTAGGTTTCTAACAATCTTATTGTCGCTCTCTTTCTCAATTTGGATAGCTATTTCTTCTTCGTGCTCCAATTTATTGTAAATCCATTCTGGTAAATAAACTTGACTTTTGTCTTGCCCACCAACATCATTTTTTTTCAATCCTCCAACCATCTCAAGAAGCAACATCCCAAAACTATAAACATCTGATTTATAAGAAACATTCCCAAAGTTTCTTGAGAAAACCTCCGGCGCAATATAACCAGTTGTACCCCTTGGTGCAGTCATGGACACAATAAATACCAACCCAGAACAAACCATAAATTCAGCATCTAAAGCTTTGTGTACCAATAAATGCAACGGTAATAACAGCATCTTCATGAGGATAACTAATATATGATTTATAAATCCCAGATAGCCATATTTTTTTGACATTCTTCTGTTCTAATTAACCAATGAAACTTCCAGCACCACTCTACAATCCCACTTTCTTCGGAATCACACACCTTTAATGGATCAATTTTGTTTAACTCACTGCAATTCTGAGTTATAAGTCAAAATTAATGAGCATTAATATTGCCTTTAGTTTTTGGAAGTGGCAGACATTAATATTGCTAATGGGTTTGATCACGGGGTGAAAAGGAACCTGAAGCTTTAAAGAATCTTGATAGTGATTCAGTTCCATCATCATTAGCGAATGATGTTTCTTTAAATATTTCAATTTTTCCATTCAGATTTTGATCTTAGTTCTTCTGCTTTCATTGCCTACTCTTCTTAATTCATTTTACATAATGAATTTTATTGTATTTAATAAATGAATTCTGCTTTTGGTTTCCAGATATCACAAGTGAGCTCCAAAGATGCATGTAACTGCTGGTAATTTTTACACTTAACTTTGGTGTCTGGGTTAAGCTAAAATTTCGTTCTTTTTACCTCGCAAGCTGGTTTAGTCTTTTACTTGAGGAAAGGAACACAGAGAGGAGACTTGTAATTCAATCTGTTTCTTTTTAAGCCAATCCGTACTTGAAAATTTTCCACTTCCCTTTCTTTGCACTAGTACACAACACACTGACATGCGTGTGCACATTGAAATCTACATTTATGCATCTCTTTGCTGGGGTTGAGCACTTCTCCAGATGGAGATCAAAGAGGAAAAAGAAAGATCATTACACGAAAATCCTCCGATACTTATGACATTGAAAACAACTTCCTCCATTCTCCCACATCAAATGAATGATATAATCTAAATACAGCCCCAGACGTAGAAAATATTTCCTCTATCATACATAAAATTTATATTCATAGATGCATTCAACAATAAGAGACTTCAACCGGGACTAGAGAATTATTTACTTCTAATTATTAGCTTAGAAGACCATTTCCAACTAATCAACTCCCAACACAAAATTCGTGGCTACCAAAAGGACTAGATAAAATGGGGAAATTGGGGGAAAGTGGAATAGATTACATAATGTTTGCACAGAATGAGGAAATTGAGGGAAAAGTAGAATAAATTACATAATAGTTTGGTAGATATTGGTGCACCGAACAAGCTACAATTTGTGCCGACTGCTTAATCTCGTCTTCAAAATCACGGGATCATCATCTACTGAAATTCAAAATTCATAGCAAAAATAGAAAAAGAAGAATGAGAATTACAATAATTACTAGACAAATTAAAAGAATATTTAACACGCTGATTAAGTGGAGGTTACCTGGATCAATAATAGCACTAGCACTTCCAACAGATGACACGGAATCGCAATCAGAAAACAACGAAGAAGAAGAACGGGACAAGCTATTACTGAACTGCCGATTCACAGCATGGTAGAACCCTAACACTGGAAAAGCAGATGACAATTTTGGATCCAAATCGGGCGAGTCAAAGTTAAACCCCAACTGAAAGCAACCTCGGAGCTCTTCCAAATCATCATCTGTAACACTAAATTTACCACACCGTAGCTGATAATTTCTCTTCCGATTAGTCCACGCCTCCTCTCTTACAGTATCTGGGGACCACAAACTCTACTTGCGTAATGGTGGAGGAGCTCTGGAACAGTGGCCGGTAGTCAGTGGTGGAAGGCGGCGAGATGGAGAGGCGAGAGAGTAGGAGTACAATTCGTAGTTTGAGGAGTATTACCTCTGCCCCTTTTTTTTTCGTTTTGTCTTGTCAGTTCAAAAAGGAAGGGTATTGAAGACGACATGTTTTGCAACGTTTTTATAAACGTTGCGGAAGACAAACTTTTTACAATGTTTTATAAAAGTTGCGAAAGACAACAAATTTTGCAACAATTTATAAACGTTGCAAAAGGTAAAATTATTCGTAACACTAAATAAACATTGTAAAAAGGCGACACTAACAATATTTACTTAAAAAATGTTGCCAAAGCTAAATTATATTTAGCAATGACAACATTCACGTATTTGAATGTTGCAATTGACCCCTTTGACAACATTTAATTAACAAATATTGAGGTCCCATAAAACTCAACTTTGTAAAGGATCGGTGCTCCTTGTTTGTAAGTCACCGAAAGCATTGTAAAAGGTTGGATTGTACCATAAGTCAATCAACATAGTGAAAAAGGCCTTGCTCGTGCCGAGAGCTTGGAAACGGAGAACGTAGATCATTGTTTTAAGTCGAACCTCCACAATTATATCGTTTGCATTCTCTCTCCCTTTTAATTATCGATTTTATACTTGTGTTTATTATTTGAATTTATCAATTTAGTCTTCACTTGCTTTCTTATTCGTGCCTATTTCTTTAATTGACATATTTACTATCATATTAGTTTATATTTAGAATTAATTTTTGAAAATATTTTAAAAACCAATTCACCTCCCTTTTGATTAGTCATCCTGGGCTTTCAACTATGACATTTTCCTCCTAAACTCACTTTCCTTCTAGATCCTCAAATTATGCACGTGACGACATATTTTCTATCATTAACATCTTCAGGTGTTCGGCCATCTCCTCAATTGTTTTTGCAACGGACATCTTTTTTCTTAAGTGACGATGCTAAGCGGGAAAAACCCCGGCCTATAACTTTTTGGGTGTTTCTTCTCGTTGCTATTTTGGATTAGCATCGCTATTCACGGGATCATCATTGCCATTGTAACACTGTGTTCTTCTTTTCGTGAATTTCCACATATTTATGATATTGTGAAATGTTAAATTGAATGTTAATTTATCGTTGTTCTGACTAACCATGTTTTGCAGTGGAATATACCTTGAACACTCTAAAAGATAAAGGTGTTAAATAAAGTTAATTATAATATGCTTACAATTGAGTTAAACCTACAATACATGATATTTTATTTATTTTATAGTAAGCTTATAATGTTATTCGTTATTAAATAAATTGAACATATAAGCTTGACCTTATCAACATTTATATTTTTTTTTCTTTAATTTAAAATTCATTCTAGCTATTTAGATTGGTTTTATAATTGGAGAGTATAGAAGGAATGAAACCAACCCCCTGTCAAATTAATGAATTTGCTAATTAATTAATTAGCACAATACTACCCTTAAATAAATGCCCTAAGATAAGAAAGAAACCTTGCACCTTCCTTGCATAAGACTGTGTTCCTTGTAATCGTAAGAACATTTCAACATGCTAAGAAAAGAAAATTTTAAATCAATTTATTTCTACCCATGTTTGCTTTACGTTCTTGGAATTCTTGATCGCTGTTTCACGCCTCTCATTAAGGTACTAGAACGGTTAATTTATTTTAATGATTTTATGATTCACGTTATATTTTATGATACAAATGGACACGTTCTTTTGTTCAATAATAAATATCACTGCAGGTTGATAATTCGATAAATGAATTAAATCATGTGGGGGAGTTTTGGCCTGTGTTGCATTTATGAATCTTATGTATAAATTTAAGCATGAAGGAGAGTTTAAGTATTTAAACATGAATTCAATGATAATATATTTCGTCAAAGATAAAAAAAAAAAAAAAAAGAAAAAAAAAATATATATATAGATATGCTGCATGATTTCATTTAATTGTTTTATTTGTTTTACTTCAAGAGTTATGTACATGAGGTATCGATTTTGTTTCAGTTTGCTAAAGGTTCTATCCATTTGGTCCATTTAAAGCAAGAGTACTTTGATAAGTAATTTTGGAATTTATGTGAACATCTCGTGACTAACGGCATAATATCATAAAAATACAATAGAAACTTGAAGTGTTAATTTCAGATGCTCTATTTGAAGTATCAATTAATCTTAACATCTATGTTTTGGTACACATTTTTTAAAGGTTGTTTTAGAAATAATAATATTCTTAATCCTTATTCATTAGAATATTTAAAATATTAAAATTCATTGTGATTATTTAACACGAGTGATAAAAGTGCAAATTTGTGTGTATATTTAGAGCTTATTTGGTAGGGATTTTGATAATTGATTTTTTGACTGTTAGAGATAAAGCGGATCCTATCTGTGAGAGAAAAATTCAAAAATAACGGCCGGAATAATGAAATAACAGTAAAAAAAAATTGATTTTAATTGACTTTTAATCCGTAACAAACAATCACTTAATTTATGTAAAATTGGCAACTAACCAAACCCAAGATATCAGCCTATTTTTCATGAATAATATTCCTTGCACACTCCATGTTGTACATGGAGTTTGACATTGTTTGCACATTCAAAAATAAATGGGCAGAAAAGTGTTTTTCATTTTAAAACTGGCCATTCATGTTGCGACAAGTAGCCCAATGTCAAATTTAATGTCAACAAAAGTGTACATATAACAAGATTGATTTTTCACTAGTGGGATACCTTCTTGATAACCTGATTTTCTTTACCAAGGCAACTAACCCACTTTTAAAGTATTAAAAGTCGTTTAACACTAAAAGGTCTATATGATTACATGTAATCTATATGGTCTTGTAACGTACTTAAATATTTTAATATCATATAGTTGAATAACTAAATGGTCAAAGAGAAAATTTGAATAGCTTGATAATTGATATTAAAGATATGTCTAGACGGTTTAAAAAATGGGCATATAATTACATTTCTAAATAAATGGTAATGAATTAGGACTTTGATACATTAATTTCGTGGACGGTTAGGGATATATCCACTTGCCATTGCTAGGGCTCAAAGTAGGTAACCCCCGACCCATCCCACATTTTCATGTGTATGTCATATGATTAAATGTATAAAATCCTAAATATTTTATTATAAGATATATGTTTATGTCATAAAATGTTGAGTGAGAAATGGGCCGGGGGGAATCAACAGACCACGACCAATGTTCAATAATAATATTTATGTTAACCGTTTTGCGATATTACAGTAGGATGAAATAGGTTCCAATTAATATTTGTCCATGGAATTCTGATTGGCTAAACGATACACCAAGTGAAGTCACGATGTTAAAGTAATTCATATGCATATCATAAGCATGCATTATATGTATGAAGTTCACTTACTGTGCATTAGCTCATTTCACTTTATGCCTCCTCATTTTTTAGCTAATAAAAGTGAGATGATTCGAAATGACAACTTGTGGTAATGCGGACTCAATATTATCATATTTAAATATTGAATTTGATTTGTAAATTAAATTAACATTCAATTTAATTGTTTTATATTTTTATTAAGCACTATTTATTTTAAAATAATAAGTCATTAATGTTTATTATGTTGAAGAAAAATTAAATCGTCATTCTGCATTCAAGATTTTAAGAGAAATTAAATAATAATACGTCGAGATCTAGGTATCTAAATTTGGCTAGATCTGGATTGTTACAGCTATATCATTTGATTTCAACCTTCGGTGATAACTTTCCTATTTTCCCACTCATTTATCTTAGATCTTATAGATTTCAAAACTTTTTAAGCTATAATAGTCTACTTTATTCAAAAATATTCCCGAAGACAGAACCAATCTGTCAATGATAAAAATTGAATCAACATATTCTCTCATATAATTATGAACTACTAGTTTATGATTTTTAGGTTATTTAGCCTATATTATCTACACAAAAACCTCCAAGATCCATCCTTTTCTTGACTAGGAGGACTGGAGAGGCAAATGGATTGTTGCTGGATTGTATGATTTGTTATGTAGCATTTCTTTGAACAACTTCTATACTTTTGCCTTCTGGATGAAGGGGCTCCATACGGGCTGATTATGAATGGTTGAGCTCCTTCTTTTAGTAGAATGTGGTAGTCATGTGACCTAGAATGATGTAGACCTTATGCTGACTTATGATAGATGTTCGTGCTTCCTTTGTTTTTATTTAGTGTGCAATTAATAATTTTATCGTTATTGTGATTAATTATGTTTGCAATGGAATATATCTTTAATCTACTAGACGATCGACATGCCTATTAAACTTAATTATCATATATAATTTTATTAGAGTTTGGAGTAAATTATAATTGGATCAATTTAATTAATTTTATATAAGATACATGAGTTGTCAATTCCTTTGTGCGCGTTGTTAAAACAAGATGCATAATTATAAATTTTGACACTTCTGCGAGGAACAATAACAACATTGTACTAAGCTTCTATATGATTTAGCTAAAAAATTGAATTAAAATCTAAATTAAAGTCAAAAATTAATTTTAGCCACACACTTCAACAAACCAACAACTTTTCAACCACACATTCTATCAACTTTTATCAAATTCTACTAAAACTGATTTTTGTCTAAACCAAACAAGGGCTTAAAGTATAACCTGGCTGGAAATAAATGAAAACAATTTCCAATCCTTCCTCGTTATTAAATTTGGCACCATATTCATAGACTCCTTAAATCTGAAGCTAAAGCCAACAGAAATTTATAATGAAAATTGATAAAATCTTCGCACATAAATATGACGATAATTTTCTAAGGAAACAGAAATTTCTTGCGAGAATGGAATACCCTTCCATAATATGTATGTTTAATCGGCCAACATCACTTATCAACATCTGCTTATCGAATTATTAGAACATAAACATCAATATAAGGTTGAAACATTGTGCTTTCTGCCAATTATATTGGATGCTCAAGCAGGCATTTCTTTGATCGAGCACTGTATTCCTGCGCAAATCATACATCATATCTACTGGAGAACAAGGGTAAGAGTATAGAGTTTGAAAAATCTGATAGGGCAAAGAGAAAATAGAGGTGGCTTATAGAATTAAACTAACCATTGTCAGAAAATAAATTATAGACAAGTCAGAAGGAAGTCATCGATGGTACAAGAATGCAAGAGTAAAGTAATTACAATGGCTAGCAGTAACCAGTAACTTCTATATGCTAATAAAAATAAATAAAAAATCTTGAGTACTCATACCTGGTATCATGCGTCCACGAGGTGGAGAGTTTGCAGCCGAGGACTGCTGACTCGATGGGTACCATGAAGAAAGAGAACCACGTCCATATTGAGTGGTTGTTGGAGAGGTGGTACCAGAGGTTTTGTGAGGTGATCCAGCAGTCGAGTATCTTCTTGGAGACACACTAGTAGAATATGCTTTTGGAGCAAGGGATGGTGTTATAAATCTATGTCCAACTTGCTTAGGGACTGCAAACCAGAAGTACCCCAAAAAACAAAATATTGCTTATATCACATACTGGGAAACAGAATTGCAGATGCTTATCATATTTCATAAACGCCAAGCAGAAGCAAATACCATTATCAGTAATGTTTGTACTTTCTATAGAACCGGTAACAGAATGGTTTCTTCTGAATCCATTTGCCTCGTCATCTACAATAAAATTATAATATACTATCACAACACAACTGATAGCTGGCAATATCAGCCCAAGATAAATATAAAATTATGAATTATCAAACAAGTTCATTAAATATCACCGAAAGTTTCCCACAAAAATAATAACCTCAAAAGTGCTGTTAAAACTTAAAATTACCCTTTGCAGGATGGCCATTGGGAACTGATTGGTCATAAGTGCCAATATCAACAGTTTCTGCCTGCTGATGAGACAAAAATTAAGTAACCATAGTGCACAATAAAGAAAGTGGTCACAAAAAGACAAAAATTGCCATGTCTGAGAAGATTTAATGAAGTTAACAGGACAGAAAATAGACACAAGTTTATCTGGGAATCATACAGGTGAAATTTCATCATTTAGTGATTGCATCAACTGTCTCTTGAACTTCTCCAACTGTCAAAAAACAAAAATTAGATTATGAACCAGTATGTACATAAAACTGAAAATCCAAAGGACAAAAATCAGATGTTGATGCAGCAAAGATGCAATTGAAACCACAATAACTCTATATACAATAATCCATTTCATTTTATTGTAATAATTTGGGAGGATAAAAGAACAGTATTGACAATTAAATTGCCAAAATATGCAATAATGGAGTATTGGCTGACAAGCAATCTAGCAAAAATTTTATGATTCTGATTAACAAACTTCATGTGAAATTCATCGATTCAAATCCACACACTGTAAAGCAAAAGTTAGAAAACAATCAGATAAAAGAACTTACAGACATATTTTTGACAAGGGTTAAATTTTCATGCTAAAAAATATATTATAAGATACAAGAATGTACATCTAAAGCTGGAATTGTTGCAGATTGAGGATAAATTAAAAGAAGGATGACAAAGATGCGTTAAAGACAAGATTTAAATGATATAAATATGGCCATACTAACGTGGTATCAAATCATACGAAGGTTTAGGTTCAAGTTTTCCCATCACCCATTAAATGAAATTGTGGAAAAATAACTCACTTCATGGCATGTTGAAGACAAGATTTGATGATCTACATGTAGCCGTTCCTAATAGCTTAAGCTTTTAGATGAAGTGGTTCAACAAGATAGAACATATACTAAAGATGTCGCGGCCTGTTCATCAGAGTTACATGATCTTGATAAAACATGTCAAGAGATAAAGGGTTGACAAAACTAACATGGCGTGCTTCAGGTAGATCTAATAATGAAGCCAAATGAAGTAGAGATGAAGGATGCACATAGTGGACCAAATTTATTGTGAATATAAAATCAGTTTGTCATTGTTGGTAAGTTTTCAATATCACAATATACTGGTATCCTACAGCTTACATAAGAAAAAAGCAGAAAACACACGGTTAAGGCATCAACAACTACATATTCAGGTAAGTATACTTTTAAAGGAAGATTGAACACAATCTAATGAATTCCGTGCAAAAATGCACACAAAAAAAAAATCTGTAATGATTAATTGTTAGCAAGGAAAAAACCTTTTTAAGAATGAATTCAATACGTGCCCCTTCCTAAAAACTATATCTTCAACAATAACGAATAACATCCTGCTTTACTACAAAAACAACAACTTTCAATCTTCATTTTCCATATAGCTATTGAAAAGTTAAAGAACCAAAAACTTAATTGCAGAAAGCATCAATGATTGAGACAGAGATTAAAACTTCAAATAAAATCAATTTATTTAGATAATAGTAAACTACGTTTCTCCAAAAGTAAAAATTCAACATCAACCAAAAAATTCCAAATAGGCCAAATTACCTTAGCCAAATCACGATCCAGCTTCTTCGCTGTCAAAGCCAAAGAGTCTCTCTCCTTTGCTAGCTTCATCTACAACTCATAAATAAAAGAACCCGATTATAAAATATATACCCCACAAATTATTAAAATTGGAATTCAATTTTTCCAAAAATGTAAATACATACTTACATTATCTTCACAAGTGATTCTCAGTCGGAATTCAGCTTCTTGAGCGGCCTGCTCAAGCTGCGATAACTTGTCTTCCAGCTCCACAATAACCCGGTCCTTGTCCTGGAGCTTTTGCCGGAGCATCCCCGTTTCCGATTCCAATTTCGTTACCCGCGACGCGATTGCCATAGACGTGATCTTACGCGCCAGATCCAACTGGTCGTACGGGTCCGTAGGCATCACCGATAATATCTCGTCAGGTAAATTGAAGTCCGGCCCCGCCCGACTGCTGTCTCCGCTGCTCTGCGACATTGCACAGGACAAATCCCTAGCTTACACAAATTGAATTTCGATAAGAAAAAAAAAAGATGAATTCGTAGGGTTCGAGAATTGAGGGATGGCAATGGAGTTCACGACGATGGGATATAATTAATACATGTGATGAAATGGAAAGGGAATTTTGGGAATAATATTTTTAGGAATCGAAGAAACGTCAGAGGTATTTGGTGGAAGATACGTAAGTTGCGTTGTCTTGTCTGGGTTTCAAAATTGGGGATTTCCCTCCTAAGGCATTTTTTATTTGGTGATAATGATAATGAAATAAGGTTTAGGGCTATGAGAATCAATTTTTTAACAATTTAGAGAGTAAATTTAGAGTATATTTGATTGACATGAAAAAGAAAATATTTTTCATCTTTTGTGGAAAATAAAAATCACCTCTATCCAAGAAAAATGTTTTCCTTAAAAACAAGGAAAATTAGGTATATTTTCAAAAGTTGGAAAATGTTTTTCATGGAAAAAAATAACAATCAAACACTTCAAGGAGAAATTTGGGTGGAAAATTGATATTTTTTATGAAAAATAAATGTAATCAAACACACCCTAAATTCTTTCAGTGGGTGAAAAAGTCAAAAATGACAATCGACCATTTTAAGTATTGATTAAAAAATTGATTTTTTAACTTGAAAAATCAGAAAGGGACTTACTTTTATATAACTTGTTAGTTAGATGCAAATAATTTAATTTTTTTCTTAAATAAAGTAAATATTTTTTTACTTGCATTGTTTGGCTAAGCTTATAAAAAATCTTTTTTATATCCTTCGTCGCAATTATGAAATGTGAACAAATAATATTTCTTTTCGATCAATCTTCTCCCGAGTTTCCCTCAATTGATCAACCTCTACTTGAAGAGTCGTGCGCACAAAATTAAAACTAGTATTTAAAATTTATGGCAATGGCTTTTTTGTCCCAGCTCATGCATAAGTTTTTAACTATGGCACAATTAACGAAATGAATCCAAATCTATTTTATGCAATTACCGAAAAGAAAAATTTATTGCATGTCACAATTATAACATTAATGCAAACAATTTTATAGAACAATGTTCTTTTAACAATATAATCTAATTAAATAGAATAATAATATTTAGCTTCATTGAGATTATAATTCTAATCCACGTGACGTTAAGTGATCGGCTAAATAACTTATTTAATTTCACTTACATTAAAGCCACATAGGCTGTGGTTATAGCTCCAGTAAGAGCTAAATAACATTACTCAAATGAAAAAGTATAAGGAGAAACTAAACTATGAATACAAAAACCACACAATGTCATCTCTCTCTAATAAAGATAGAACAATTCGATTCATCACCTGGCCTCGCCAATAATCTCATGAAGAATCGGTTTGGAATCAAGGATAGGTGAATAAGCTGGATCTGTTGCCCTGCTTCCTATGTTTGACGAATTATCATGACTAATATCAGTTCTTGAAGTTGAACTATCCGTATTTGACATGAAGGTTGTTGCATCTCTAAATTTCCAATCAGTCAGGTATCCTGGCTTCGAAGTGACAGGGGGCACCTCAATATCTCCGGAAAGCATTGACACCACACGGGACATTGAAGGCCGCAAATTGGGGGACGTTTGACTACACAGAAGAGCCACTCCTATAATTCTTTTCACTTCATCTTCCTTCACTTCGGATAGTGTTCTGTCAAGAAGTTCCATTTCTTGGTTTATCTCTTGAAGATTCCAAGCCTGCAAGCATATATCGTATTTAAATTAGTACCTACTGAGGCAAACGATGTTGGAAAACACAGAAACACATTTAAACATTGATTTTAGAGGTGTGCCCGCTAACAAATAGAGATTGGAATTTGTTTTCTTAATGGGTCCAATCTCTCTTATGGTCTCGTATAGAACTATAATGAAATATACGATCAACCAACATTTATTGAATTTGAAAAAGAGTCCGTTCGATTCTCTTATCCCTTGTTCTATTAGCGAGGAGGAAATGTGATTAAAAAGAAAGGACGAGTTCTTTACTTTATTGATTAGGACCCCATCAAAGATGAGAAATTCTAATCCTGAGACAAATTAGATCTGTATAAATTTTGGAAGGGGAAAGGGGAACTTCCTGAATAAACATTGGGTTGAGAAGAACTAATTCCATTTTGTTGGGTATGGTGCAAAAGAGAATGATAGAAAGCTTTCTCAAGTCTCAAGTCCAAGATTTTTAAGAAACTGATAGACCTCCAATCAAGTATACCTGACGATGCCAATATTGATACACCCCGAGGAGTTCATCCCGAGGATTCCATATATGCCCCAGCTCACCTTTTTGCTATGGTCCTCGGGATCTCCCTGAGACCTCGAGATATTTTGGTCCTTGAGGTATCTCGTGCACATATTAACATCCTCTCAAGTCCTCGGGAATAGTCCTCGGGACATATACCACCAACATACCTTTTAAGACCTAGGTATCTAACAAACAAACCTAAATACCCAAGGATTCTGTATCAACCCTTATACCACTTGTCAAACAATTCCATTACAAGTAGGGCACTCTTTATAAATAGAATTCCCTTGGATAAAAACATCCAACAAGCACAATCCTACTAAGAGTGCACTACCTACCCCTATAAAAGCAGAACTTTGGGCAATTATTCAGGTACGTTTTTCATTATTCTCCAGCAAATAGCCTCACGCATATAATTCCCTTTCTGACTTAAGTATCGAAGAGGCGACGAGAACATACCTCGTTGCCTTTATTTCAGGTACCGGAAGACAACGATCATGATCAACCCGAATCATCAAGCTCAGGAAATCAACAGGTACGATTTTTGGTAGCATCAATACCTATTCTAGAAGATTCAAGAAGTCGGGAGAAGGGAAGGAGCCATAATGAATTCTGTTAAGAGGGGTAGAATAGGAAAAAAGGAAGTAGACAAAAAAAGAATATAAGCAGGGAACAGGGAGAGGAGACGTGCAGGAAATCTGTTGACTGTGGTGAGACTAAGGAGAGATACAGCCCTCTTGAAAGGCTGCCTGTCATTTCATTTTCTTTTGTACTGCACAATCCAATCAATGTAGAACTATATTTTCTGGTTCTCATTTCATTATCTTATGTACTTCAGCTAGATCTTATCAACTTGGTGTCAGAGTATCTCAATTAACATCACAGCCATGACACTAATCGACCGAGTAGGGGAACTTGAACACGAGGTGGAGAACAATCACCAGGAACTTCAAACAGGACTGGAATCACTACGATTGGAGTTCAAATCAATGCATTCAGGAATGATGGAAAAATTTGATGCTAGCTTAGGAAGGCCAGGAAAAGGATCGGAAGGAGAAGGGCTTTGCTACAGAAAAATCAACCGTACAAATGACTGATTTTGGGCTTACTCAATTGAGTTCGAGAGACAGCCATTACAGCGGATGGATGGGTCTTTCGAGCGGAGAGATATCTTCACATTAACAAGATGACGGAAGAAGAGAAGGTGGAGGCCACCTCCGTGTGCTTCGATGAAGAAGCCCTCGCTTGGTTCAAATGGGAGGAGAAATGCAGACCCATGAAGAATTGGGAGGAGGTGAAGGTTCGATTGCTATGGCGATTTCGACCTTCACAGGAGGGGTCAGTTTGTGCTCAGTTCCTATCCCTTAAACAAAGTGCCATCGTGAGAGAATCCCTCCCGTGATTTGAGACTTTGGCGTTGCCATTGACGGTAGTTTCAGAGAAAAGAAAATTCTGGAGTGTAGCTTCCTCAACGGCTTGAAACCAGAAATCAGAGCTAAGGTCCATTTACTCAGAACATTGGGCTTGGAGCAAATAATGGAGGTGGCCCAAATGGTTGAAGACCGTAATCTAATTACCCATCAAAGCCCAACTAAGCCCAAAAGCATCCCATACTACAGCCTAAACCCACCACAACCCACTACGACCCAAAATCAAAACACCGTTCCATTAAACCTATATCCATCTCAATGCCCTAATTATTTCCCCAAAAAGTCCACGACCTTCAAGAGGCTCACTGATGCTACAAGTTCACTATTGGCCATAAATGCAGGAACAGGAAGCTACAAGTATGGGTAGTCCATGAAGTAGAGGAGGACGGCGTGATGGGCGAGGAGCGACAGCCCTGCGAGCTGAGCTCTGACGCCGCTGAGGTCGAAGGCGAGGTAATTTCCAGGGAGGACGAAGTCCATGGCTTGGTCAGCCAGTGGAATTGTCAATTAACTCCATGGTAGGGCACACCGCTCTCGATACCATGAAGCTAGTCAGGCGGGTCGACCAAAGATAGGACGTGGTGTTGGTTGATAGCGGAGCCTCCCACAACTTTATATTTGTTGAGTTGGTCCATTATCAGGCACCATGAGCTACGAGGTAATCATGGGTACGGGCTTGACCATAAAAGGGAAAGCATATGCAGGAGAGTAGCTTTACATTTGCTGAGGTTGATGGTAGTTGAAATTTTTTTACCCTTAGAGCTGGGTAGCTCAGATGTTATATTGGGTATGCAGTGGCTAAGGAAACTAGGCAAAATGCAAGTCGACTAGAATACATTGACTATGACCTTCAACATCTCGGGAACTGAAGTGTTGCTGCAAGGAGACACAAACCTTAGTAAAACCCCCATTCTGCTAAAATCGATGAAGGCCTTTTAGGAGCAATGGGAAGGGCTGTTACTAGAATTAGGAAATATTGCCACTGATACCAACTGCTTTCCTCCTAAGCCACCTGCAATGATCGCAGAAGTTTTGGAAGAATTCTCAGCAATCTTTGAAGAGCCCCCCTAACTACCCTCAGAGAGGAGTCACGATCATGCAATTGTTATGAAACCTGGGGATAATCCAGTTAGCGTGAGACAATACCAGCGTCCACACTTCCAAAAGAATGAAATCAAATGGTTAGTACAATAGACGCTAGCTGTGGGAATTATCTAGCATAGCACAAGTCCATTTTCCAGTCCGGTACTTCTGGTGAGGAAGAAAAATTGAAGTTGGCGATTTTGTGTAAATTATCGGGCTCTCAACAAAGCACCATTTCGCATAAATTTCCAACTTCCGTTATTGACGAATTACTAGATGAATTGAATGGAGCTACAGTATTTTCGAAAATTGACCTCAAATCAAGGTACCATCAGATCAGGGTGAAGGCTGAGGATATTCCAAAAACTGCATTTCGAACACACAAAGGGCACTATGAGTGTCTCATCATGCCATTTGGGTTAACTAACGCACCTGTCACTTTTCAGTCTCTAATGAATACGGTCTTCAGATATCAACTCAGGAGATATATCTCAATCTTCTTTGATGACATATTGGTTTATAGCTATACGGAGGTCAAGCATATGGATCATTTGAGGATGGTAATGCAGATTATAGTGAACAATCAGCTCTATGTCAACACGAAAAAGTGCTCGTTTGGCCAAAAAGAGATTTGAGTACCTGGGAGACATCATTTCAGCAAAAGGAGTAGCGGCGAATGAGACAAAGGTGGCTGCGTTGAGAGACTGGCCGTGCCCAAAATCACATAAGGAGTTGCGGGGATTCCTAGGATTGACCAGGTATTATTGACGTTTTGAGGGGGCTACGGGAAAATTGCATTGTCGTTGACTCTACAGCTAAAAATAGATAGTTTTGGATGGAACGACGCAGCTGAAGCGGCATTCAAGAAACCGAAGGAAGCAGTGACAACGATGGCAGTTCTAGCTCTTCCCGATTTTTCGCAACCCTTTGTGATTGAAATCGATGCTTCCAGGCATGGATTAGGAGCTGTCTTAATGCAAAATCTGAGGCCTAGAGCTTACTTTAGCCAGGTTATTCCACCAAGAATCCAAAATAAGTCAATTCATGAAAGGGAACTAATGGGTGCTGGCGGTGCAAAAATGGAGACACTATTTGCTGGAAAAGCGATTCGTGGTTATACCTTGGTGCATGGAGCTTTACTGTATAATGATCGGATCACCTTACCCAGGGACTCCCCACTCATATTGATAACACTACAAGAAGGGCACGACATTAAGATAGGAGAACATGAAGGTTTCCTCAAAACATACAGGGGAATAGCAGAGACATTTCATTTGGTGGGGATGAAGGATATTCGCTCATATGTGGCCGCCTACACAACCTGTCAGCAGCATAAATATTCCACCCTTGCACCTGCAGGGTTACTGTAGCCTCTTCCAGTCCTAGAGAAGGTGTGGGAAGACATCTCCATGGATTTCATAGAAGGATTACCAAAGTCAGAAGGGTTTGATTTGATTTTGATAGTCGTTGATTGTTGCCCATTTTATAAGTCTCAAGCATCCTTTCACGGTCACTTCCATTGCAGCCGTTTTTGTGAAGAGAAGCAGTTCGATTGCACGGGGTACCCAATTAATCATTTCAGACAGAGAGATAAGGTGTTTCTTAACAAGTTTTGGACTCAACTATTCTGACTCCAAGGAACCAAGTTAAGGTGTAGTTCAGCCTATCATCTACAAACCGATGGGCAAATCGAAGAGTAGAGACCTATCTGCGTTGCACGATGAAAGGAATGGGTTTGCTACCTACCTTGGGTTGAACTCTCTTACAAAACTTCCTTCCATGTATTTGCTCAGCTCACCCCTTTTCAGATCATATATGGGCATGACCCCCCTCTCCTAATGCATTTCAAAAAGAGAACTACGGTGATCTCTTCGTTGGATCAACAACTGGCTGAAAAGGACAAAATACTAGAGGAGCTCAAGGTCCATTTGCATCGAGCTCAACAATAGATGAAAAATGCAGCTGACAAACACAAAGGGCAGTAGAGTTTAATGCAAGGGACATGGTTTACTTGAAGATGCGTCCTTATCGTCGCAAATCCTTGACACATAGTACCAATGAAAAACTTGCTCCCCGATACTATGGACCCTTTAAGGTATTGGCTAAAGTGGGGAAAGTTGCTTTATTGGTTGGACCTACCACCCGAGATAAAAATCCATCCAGTATTCCATGTATCACAATTTCGTAAAGCAGTGGGATAACATTATTTAACCACACAGTTACCTCTAAATTTGGGAGCTGACTAGGAACTAGTGGAACCTGAAGCAGTGCTAGGAATTCGGAATGGGACACGGGAGATATCAGAAAATTTGGAAGTACTGATCAAGTGGAAAGGGTTATCTACTATGGAAGCTACCTGGGAACCATTTCATCTCATTAATCAATAGTTTCCGTCCTTCTACCTGTCTGAAATTGGGGGTTGGGTGGTAATTAATCGACCTCCAATGAAGTATACCTATTCTAGAAGATTCAAGAAGTCGGGAGAAGGGCAGGAGCCATAACGAATTCTGTAGAGGGGTAGAATAGGAAAAAAAAAGTAAATAAAAAAAGAATATAAGTAGGGAACGGGGAGAGGAGAAGAGCAGGAATTTGTTGACTGTGGTGAGACTAAGGAGAGATATAGCCCTCTTGGCCTGTCATTTCATTTTCTTTTGTACTGTAGAATCCAATCAATGTAGAAATATATTTTCTGGTTCTCATTCATTATCTTCTGTACTTCAGCTGGATCTTATCAGAAACATCTTATGGATAACATGCTTATATATAAACCATAAAATTCTAAAAGTATCAATATGCACAAAGGTTCAAAATGTGCAATAGACCATACCCATTCAAGAAGATACACCTCTTCCTCTTCCAAACTAGAGTCAGAATTCAGCCTTCCACTGACGATTTCTAGGGCTACAACTCCAAAGCTAAATACGTCTGCCTTCTCGGTAAGGTGCCCGCGCATGGCATACTCCGGAGCAAGATACCCACTATATGAATGAAAAATGAAAAACTCAGCAATTAACCCACCCCAATTCTAGTCTACATTTCAACTGGGAATACAGGTCACTACACAAAAGATTAAGACAGAATGAAAGAACATCATAGATTAAGAATTTTGTGAGCCTTACATTGTTCCTGCAACACGGGTACTTATATGGGTCTTTTTGTCGTCATACAGTTTTGCCAAACCAAAATCTGAAATTTTGGGATTCAGATCGGAGTCAAGCAGAATGTTGCTAGCTTTAACATCTCTGTGTACAATTCGAAGTCGGGATTCCTCGTGCAAATAAGCAAGACCTCTTGCTACTCCCAAGCATATATCAAAGCGTGTTGGCCAGTTAAGAGATAAACTTCTATTCCCTGCTCCATCAAAGCAAAGTGATTCAGTCTCCTGTATATTGAAATTAATTGAAGCTGCAGACAAGCTATCTCATTACTACCAAATAATACTTGATCAAGGCTCTTGTTTTCGAGATACTCATAAACAAGCAACCGTTTATCTCCCTCAATACAGCATCCATACAATTTCACAAGGTTACGGTGCTGCATAGCAGATATAGTGGCAATCTCTGCAACAAACTGCCTCTTTCCTTGATGGGATGCAATAGACAATTGTTTAACAGCAACAACTCTTCCATCCTGAAGAGTTCCCTGTTGGTCACAACACAAAAGGTTCAGGTATATTAAACTTAGAAGTTACAAGAAGAAAACCAAATAGGAATTGATAAGATCTGAAACAGTTGCGCACACTTTCCTTCTGATACAATATGAGGTTGGGGATATACAAATATACAAAAGGTCAAGGAGAAAATAACGAAGGAATTGTGGGCAAAACATTGAATTATAGCAATAATGTGAACTACTGAAACTTACAAGGACTTGTTACCACCTTTATTTTGTCTTAATTCATCACACACTTCATGTGTTGGTTTATAAACCACGCCTGACTTTTAATTGTTCCACCATTCTATAATCTTTGATTCAGAAAATTTTCAGAATAGAATTTACCCTGTACACAGGTCCAAATCCTCCCTCTCCAAGCTTATTAGCTGGATTGAAGTCATCTGTTGCAGCTCTTAGCTCCAAATAACTGAACGTGTATGGTCTGGCATCCAGCCCCAAGAAATCTGCAAATTCACAGAGAAACATTTGTTCACTTCCTAAGTGCAGTGATTAATTCATCTTACCCCTAGCTCATTCATTCCTTACCTCATATAATATTGTTCCATACGAGGATAGGCATTATAAGTTTGGTATTAATTAAATATGCAGTAACCTATCTCTCATTGTGGAACATTTAAGAAGCAATTTATCACATAAAGTCAGACAAAAAGCATAGAAGCAACAACAACTCCAGAACTGGAAAGGATACTTAGGCTACAATACTTTTCCTTTCTTACCTTCATCCTCATAGCTCTTCTTCCTGTTTCTTCTCTGAGCAAAATAATATGCCGCAAATACAGAAAGAAGACTTACAGCTCCGACTGTAACTACAATCCCCACAATCAGACCAATCCTATTCTTCTTTCTACTTGGAGATCCGTTTCTAACTGTGGGAATGAAATCTGTTGAAAAGCTTAGTGATCAATATTGACATCTAGATAATAGGAATCAGAGTTGAGAATTTTTGCGAGCTGTTAAATATCTTGCATTTATATTTACCTGGGCTGGCACTTATTGCCGAAATTGAAGGCCCATATGTACCTTGAGTAGGAACACAACAAGTCCCTTTTCCAGCCCAGAAGAAATGGATTTCAAGGTAGTTTTCAGACACCTGAACTTTCAATTCCTTCACAACAGCTTTCAAAGGGGTCCCGTCAGCCTCTTTTACTATGTCAAAGTCTTTGAACTCCAGCTTCCCCTGGACCCCACAGAGTGACAATTTGGTTCAATAATACATGAAAAAGAACCAAGATATATTGATTTTCTGAGTATACTTCAAAAGGAAAATATACAAGATACTTGAAATTCTAAATTTAACCATCCCTATGGTGGATTCATACAAGGGAAATATGAAAAGTCATGGCAAGCATTGCTATTGAAATTTGAACTGGAGAAAATCTTGGAATAGAACATGTGAACATTGAATTTGAGGCATGAATGTTCTTCGAACAAAAACAAAAGGTAACTATCACAAGTATTGCCTTCAAAAATACATACTATATCACCCATATCAAACACCCCATTAAGTACTACATGATGAAAGGTGAACTGGTGTTTTAGACAAAGATGAGGCTTGAAGGTGCATCATCCATAACTATTCCATCAGATACACCCACCTTGATCATATCAATTGATGATGGTAAACCAATGTGTAGTTGAAGCATAATGAAAAATATGAATGCAATAGTTCTAATAAGAACTCATTTTTTAACACAGACCTGGATATATATATCAAAAACCCGCCTTCCAAGACTCATCCACCTCATAGGACCAAGAAATCCGATTTCTGCGAATTGAAGTTTCAGAGTGTAATTACCATTCTGAAGACCCAATCCATAGTATCTCAAAGATCCCGCAGAAATTCGTGCAGTTTGAAACAACTCTGAATCCAAAGTAGCAGTGAATTGGGATGAAGAAGAGCTTTTATATTGTGGGCTGTTGCTATTAGAAGGCAGACCAACATTGCTAACTGCCCATCTGTTTGTACGGGTCGTGTAATGTGTTGCCGGACCAAGAGTCTCATTATCCATCTCATATACAATCTGATCTGAAGACCTAATTTGTTGACCACCACAATCAATTGCAAAGCTGGAATTTGCAAACCATCATCCAGATGAACTTGTCAATTATCAATGCAACTTCACAAAAGTGCTTGCTTTAAGAATTTGAGTGAAAATTATTTTGTGAACGATATTTTGGCCTGTTTTGCACCATATTTTGTAGAAGTAATTTCTTTTTAAAAAAAAATTACAAGCAAGTGCTTTTTGTAAGAAAATCTGATGAAACTTTTGAAATTAGGATGAGGAACCATGATTTAGCTAGAACAGTTTGAAATTCTTTACTGTAAAATAAGATCAAAACATTTCATTTTTATAAAATACATATATTGACCTTTGTTTCTGAGTGAGAGATAATTGGTGTCCTTTTGATTAAAAAAATTAAGACGTGTACAGGTTACCCAATTTATTTTTTTACGTTTCTTAATATTTATTATGAAATAAAATGCTCTAGGACTATTCCCAATCAATTTATATCTCCAAAACATTATTTTTTAATATTTATAGAATGTGTTAGCAAAATATCAATCTGAAACACAAACAGACATCATCTTAAAATTGCCAACTATATCTTTTAATGTGCTTACAACTTTGTGTGCATAAAGAAATAATGTCCAATCAGCGGTGCAACAAAATAACTAGACAAAGCATCATTTTGCCTAAAATTAATGACAACTTTAACCACATTTGGGGGACTATTGAAGCTGGTGGTGATGATTGAAGGTGTAAGGTGAGCTGGTGGGAAATGAGTGGAAAGAAAGAAGAGTAAAGTGTCAAAATATACCGTATATAGAATAAATTCACTAATTAGTTAGAAACAATGCAGACAAGGCCTTTAATAGTTTTTATCAGTGCACAGACCTTTGCATTGTACACACGGTTCTACTCCCCACAATTATGTTAAATTCTTTGTTTAGATTCACAAAAGGAAAAGTAAGTTCCTATCAGTTTTCAGACTTTCGAAACCTGTTACCTATTTGCACATGTTGGGTTAAAATACATCACTTACAGATAGGTGAACCTTGATTGCAGGGGAAATTCCGCTGAAGGCAATTCAATCCTGAAGGCAGAGCACTAGAAAGTGCAAAAAGAATGTATGAAATTAGGAAAAGTGTTGTATTGGAGGTACAGAAGCATCAAGCATTAATTTTGTGAATATCAATATTTCAAATCATTCATGATGACTAAATTGCGCTTCTCAAACAGAAGGAAGTGATTTGGAAATGAAACATACATGGAAGATTGTCATATATACCTAATGCAAGAACATAATAAAGATGTACTTTTTACTATAGCTTTGTTAGGAAAGCATGCTCCCTTTTGTATTGAGAACAATTGGAGAATAGACTTTCCCAACTTTTTACTATAGCTTTGTTAGGAAAGCATGCTCCCTTTTGTATCGAGAACAATTGGAGAATAGACTTTCCTACACAAATGCCTCAGGTTCTGTGGCTGAGAAAACTCTTGCTCTCAGGAATAGACTTTCCCACACAATTGCCTCAGGTTCTGTGGCTGAGAAAACTCTTGCTGTCCTGAGATTATCTTTTTCCTAGTTACTAGGTCTTGGTGATAGTGCTCTTTGACATATTTAAACTAATCTTCTCAATAATGTTTACTGTATTTTCCAAGTCATAATGAATTGTTATATTGTTGTTATTTTTGTTAAAGTACAAAGAAATTATGTGAAGCTGCTAACAGCTTTGACACATGATATTGACATGAGAAATGAACCATTATCATTCACAATGTGGACATACATATGGAAGTCACTTGCTAGTTCCAATTAATATCATATTGTGTACTCTCTCGGGAAATGGTTTATGGTAAGTTAACCAATTTCTACCGAAAGATGAAAACTAGTAGGCATAGATTTAGCTATTGGCTGATCGTGCCATGGTTAAGTTCTGACAGAAGTAAGTATGGATGACCAATATACACATTACAATCCAGGCATGTCTACATCAAGAAGCAAACCAACTGTAAAGTTTAGCAAGTGAATCTATATGAATTTGCGCTTCAAATATTTACCTGCCATTAGAATTGTCTATGGTAAAGTTGTTGGCAACCAAGTTGCTGCATAATAAATCAAGAAAGATTCTATGTAAATTGTATAGAGGGCAATTTAAATCATGAGAGATCTCAAACGAAATATCAAGCAGAACAATGCCATAGAGTATAAAGACTATGCATTCTCATCTTCTTTCACACATACAGTTGTAAATTTGGTTCGCTGACCCAAGATGGAAAGCTCCCAGATAATCCATTGTATGATATATCTCTGCAAGGAATACAACAATAATATTACAAGAGGAGGCATATACCTCAACAAAATATAATAGTCGCATTGCATATTCATTTAACTCGTGAAATATGGAAGCGTAATTTGAATTCACATTTAGTGCAGATTTATGGAAATATAGTCTTCTTTAAATTTCCCTTAAAACATGTACAAATAATGAGGGAAACCCCAAATACTGCTTGTTGGATCCTGATTGATGCTGATGGAGAAAGGGGGAGAGCATATTGAACAGAGAGAGAGAGAGAGTTGTTACTTTCATTAAGTTCCATTTTATGTATCAAGTTGAATGTCCTTTTCCAACTTAATAATTTTAATTAAGCAATCTAGAGTGTAAATTTAAGAGTATGCATTTACTACTATTATAATTATATAAATCAAATATGCCTACAAATAATGATGAGATCCAAAATCATCGCATTTGCATCTGCACCTTGGAGTTCTAATCATGTATTTCGGACAAAGAAATGCAACTTATAGAAGGTTTTTTTTTTTATCAGAACCACTAGGATATAGGGCACAGCAACCGAGCAATTTGATTAAGATATGAACATCTGAAAAGCACAAGTGTGAATACTAACATGTTCTGTAGAGATGTATGCTTTTGCGCTGGTAGGGGACCCGTAAACTTGTTATTACCAAGATATCTGAAGATAAAAAATAAATAACTGACTTAGGACCCAGTCTCTTTCTCTGGATGAGAGAGTTGTTGCAGTGAGGTCCCAAGCATAAGTAAGTAATGGATGATTTATTACAAGTTAGACAGTGAACTCAGATTGAAAAGAGAATCTGGAATGCGCCCAGTCAAACTGTTGAAGCTCAAATCCCTGAAAAATAAAATTATAAAAGGTTGTAGAGCGAGGCAATGTAGTAGCTTTGGAGCAACTTTACAGGTTAGTGACTTCAATCAGCTAAAAAATATTATTAAGTTCATTTCCAGGTAAACCCCTTATATGCGGTTAATGTTCTCAATTTGAGACTCAGAATGCATTAGGCTGGACTGCATGACTCCCATCCTAGTTACCATCAATGTTTGAAACTCATACCACAACAAGAAGGCTTACAGCAATGTTAAACTCTGGTATTCACCAAAATTGGAAGATAGAGAACCAGAAATGTTATTATTCCGCAAAATTCTGCCAATCAAGAAATAAGTTCATTATGGTACAAGTTGCCAAATCAACAGAGAATTTGTTATAAGAAAGATTACATCATATTACTACAGAATTATTGGCTGTGTTTATTCCTTACAAGGTGGATAACGACTTCATACTTCCAGCCAAGTCCAGTGTAGAGCTTCCATTAGATAGATCACTTATTCTCCTGCTTGTCATGTTTGTACAATAATATTAGCTTAAGAAAGCATAGAGAAGAAAGATTTGTAACATAAATGAAAACAGAACTCACAAATCATTCAAAGAGGTTAAATTGGAGAATGATGGTGGTATTGGCCCCTGAAAGGAGTTTCCTTGAAACCTCCTGCAAACATAGTTATAGCTTATCACAAACCACACATAAATCTTGACTCTAGAGGAATTACTTGAATGAAGATGGCGTGTAACAATTTCATCATGATAAATCATTGAATCGTATAAATGAGCTTGATTTCTGTCTCACAGGGAAATAAGATTCGACCAACTCCCAATAAAGTCAGGAATCTGACCAGTAAGTTCATTGTCAGAGGCCCACCTGAAATCCCCAAAAATTTATTCCAGTGAACTTGATTAGAGAAGTCGAAACAATAAACTTAACTATCATTACAAAAGAAAGGAGCAGAAAGGATATGTTCTTACATGTTTTGTAAACTCGTTAGATTTGAAACTGTTCTGGGTATTGGACCGCTAACTCCAGCACTAGGAAAGTAACTGCGAGGAAAATAACATGGTATGAATGCAAAATAGAGCAGGAACTATTTTCCTTTCTCATAGCACAAAAAAAAAAAATAATAATAATAATTAAACAAAAAAAATAAAAATAAAAAATAAATTTTGTGGCTTGTCATAAATTAATAAATTAAGATTCGAAAAATTTTAAGATGGTTAAAAGCAAACATTACTATGGAGTAGATCAAAAATGCTAGAGAACTTCTTGAATGAATGACAATTGACAAATGAGCTTACCTAACGTGGATTAGAAGATAATAGAGTACGAAAGGCAAATTAGGTCACAATTGTCAAATAGCGTGTCAAGGAACAAAGAAAAAACACAAAAAGACAGGGACGAGGATATAGTCTGGCGCAAGCTGGAACACCTCGTTAAAAAAAAAAAAGACCTAAAAGGAAAAGGTTCTTCACATTTTCCCATGTCAAGTTTAGAGATGATTGCATATCTAAACAG